AATAAACAAATAAAAATAAATAAATAAATTAATTAATAAAATAAATAAATTAATGGAAAAAATAACTAAGTGAATGGCGAAAATAAACAAATAAAAATAAATAATGAAATGGAAATAAATAAATTAATGAAAACAATAAATAAATTATTGGAAAAAATAAATAAAGAAATGGAAATGATTAAATGGAAAAAGTAAATAAATGTAAATAACTAAGTGAATGGGGAAAATAAACAAATAAAAATAAATAAATGGAAATAAATAAATTAAGGAAAAAAATAAATTAATGGAAAAAATAAATAAAAGAATGAAAATAAATAAATAAATGGAAATAATTTTATAGGAATAAAATAAATAATTTTTAAGTGAGAAAAAAGGAGAGAAAGAGAGGGAAAGAGACGGTGAACCTGCGACATCAAAAATCAAGTGAGACCGGGTCGGTATTTTTGTTTCTGTCAGTAGGAGCCATTTGTAATTTGTGGAGGATTTACTTTTTCAAGGTATTTAAGCTCCCGAAGAAAAAGGTGTTATCTCAGATAAAGAGGATTATTGTTTGTAAATTTCATGCCAGTTTTGTGGGTACATTGAAAATGACCTGATTTCCCGTAATTATTCTGTAAAAATAACCATTGGGGGTGGAAGAAATTTTTTTGATTTTTATCTCGATAATTTTAAACGACAGAGACTTTATATTTAAGGACACGAGCCTTTTCTGTTTGAATAAACACACTTAAATTGCTCATTATTTTAATATTTACAAAATGTAAACAAATATTTGAAAATTCTATTTTTCCCAAGTTATATATTTAATTATATATACATTGTGGAAAAATTTTACTAAATAAATTACAACCAATAAATTTAATGATTGAAAATAATTTTTATTATTTACGTTATTTTATAATAATAACTTAAATATAGTACTAACAATAATAACTAATAGTACTAATAATAATTAAACAATAACTTAAATTAAAAATTGTCTAATATAATAAACTATTTGAGTAATAGAAAATAATTTTTTACTGTACTCAAATTTTAAAACAATCTGACTTTAATTTTTCTCTCATTTTTTATAACAAAACAAAATTTTATAACTGAATTCTTATATTTTTCTATCTAATTTTATTCGTGGATTTTTCGTTTATAGAAATAAAAAAGAGATAAAATATTGAAATTTCAAATAAAGTAGAAAAAATATTGAATGAGAGTTGTCAATGGAAAAAAATTCTGAAAAGAGAAATTTTATTTCATTTTAGATTTTTTTTTTTTTTTTGGAATGAAATAATTCCCGCGCATAGCTTGACATTCATTTCTAGATATTTTCGTTTTATTCAAACATACCTTTTAACACAATTTTAAGTCGTTTGGCTTTTATTTTTTTATTTTTGAATTGCGACTATAATATATGAATTGTTGCGCAATATTGAATTTTGTTTCAAGTTTTTTTTTTTTGCAAATAAAGTATTTTTGGTTTTTATTTTGAATGAAATATTTTTGTAGGAAAATAAGAGAGTGTTATTGTATATACTATTGTTGTAGTCTTGTACTATTGTACTATTGTACTGTCATTAATGACAGATTATTAGCCACTGTCTGCAAGATTTTTAGGTATTTCCCAGTGACATCATGCTGACGTCACAGTAAAATATTTTACTGTTTTATTTTTATTTACTTTTTGCTCTATTTACTGCTTTATTTTGATTTATTTTTATTAATTTTTTTGTTATATTTATTGTTTTATTTTTATATAGACATTTCTGTTGTAACTTGTAATTACTTGTTTTTAATTATCTTTGTTGTATTTACTGTTTTTTTATTATCTTTGTAATGTTTACTGTTTTTTTTACTGTTTTTTTAATTGTTTTTGTTATATTTTATGTTTTAATTGAATTTATTTTTTCTATTGCAAAGTTGACGTTAAAAACTATTTTTTAAATATTTCTTTGTTTTGACAGAGTTTTTTAATTTAATTTTTTAATTTAGTTTTTTAATTAAATTAAAAATTTTTTTTCAATATTTTTAAGCAAAGTTTATTAGTCTATTTGACATGATTTTGACTATTTTAATGAAAAATTTTACTATCCCATTGAATATTTACTTTTTTTGTGCTAAAATTAATAAATTTTTGTTAAAAATACTGTTTATAGTTTTAGATCTATATTTGTGTTACTTAGTGAAATTTGTTACTATTTTCAACAGTCTATTTGACACGATTTTTACTATTTGAATTAAAAATTTTACTATCTAGAGGAAAATTTACTATTTTTGTACAAAAACTATTTTTTGCAATAAGTCAATGTTTTTTAAAAATAATTTTACAATTTTTATTGTTTTTATACTATTTATTAAAATAGTTACTATTTTTGTTACTATTTTCAAAAGTCTATTTCCCACTTTTTTGACTATTTTAATGAAAATTTTACTACCTGACTGCATATTTACTATTTTTATGCAAAATGTTAATAAAAGTTTTTTAAAAATAGTTTTTATCGTTTTATATATATTTGTACTATTTAGTTTAAATTTTTTCTATAGTCCATTCGCAATGGTTTTGACTATTTTAACAAATTTTTATTACTAACATTGACTATAATTAAATATTTACTATTTATGCAAAAATTAATTAATTAATTAATTAATTATTCTAAAAAATGGATTTATCGTTTCAGTTCTAGTTAGTAAATTTTGGGACTATTTTCAATAGTCAGTTTAACACGATTTTGACTATTTTTATGAAAAATTTTCTTATCTAGTGGAAGAATTACTATTTTTGTACAATAACTATTTTTTTGTCTTTTAAAAAATAGTTTCACAGTTTTAGTTATTTTTATATTATTTTATGAAATTTTTTACTATTTTCAATAGTTTATTTGCAATGGTTTTGACTATTTTAATAAGTTACTATTATTAATAATTTAAATTTAAATTTTATTACTATTAAAAATTTACTATTCTTTACAAAAAGTAATGTCTTTTAACAATAGTTTTTTATCATTGAACTTCTATTTGTATACTGTTTAAAAAAATAAAATTTTTTATTATTCTCAATAGTTTTTTTACTACGATTTTGACTATTTTAATAAAAAATTTTACTATCTGGCAAAATATTTACTATTTTTGCAAAAACACTGTTTTTTCAAAACGCACTAAATCTTTCAAAAATTGTTTTCATTGTTTCAGTTTTATTTGTACTATTCAGTAAAATTTGTTACTATTTTAAATGATTTTGATTATTTTAATTTAAAAAAAAATTTACTATTGTCAGAAAATTTACTATTTTTGGACTAAGAATATTTTTTCAAAAAGTAATATATCTTTCAAAAATAGTTTTCATCATTTTAGTTTTATTTACCTACTTTAATAAATTTTTTTACTATTTTCAATCGTCTATTTTGTTAAAATTTTGACTATATTATCGTTGTAGTTTCATTTAGTTCCATTTCCTTAGTTCCATTATTTAGCAAAATATTTTCTTTTTTTTATTTGCAAAAACAAATTTAATTATTTAACTTTACTTGAAAAACAATTATTTTCAGTACTAAATATTTACTGTTTTTGTAAAAATCAATAAATTTTTAAAATAGTTTCATCGACTTACTTATCGATAAGTATTTGTACTATTTAGTAAAATTTGCTACTATTTTAAAAAGTAATTATTTTTTAAAAAGCATTTCTGTATTTTTATATTTATATTTTTGAATAATAAGTCGTTGATTCAAATTTTTCTCAAAAGCTCGATCTAATGAACGAGTTTCAAAGAAAAAGTTTACTCTATTTTCGATAAAAAGAAAAATTGATCTGAATTTGTCAAATATAAAAATTTCCCATTCCGCTTATTTTTAATTGGACGGAATTCAAATTCAGATAAACGGAAATTTCCTTAAAAATAAAAATTTCTGCGTTATTAAAAACACCATGAATATTAAATAAAAATATTCGATAAAATATTCTTTTTCTTAAATTTCCCTTGAGTTAATTATATACGTCATAAATATTTAATAAAAATATTCAATAAAATTCTTTTTTTAATAAATTTCCCTCGAGTTTCTAATTTAAATTTTCAAAATTTACAATTAAAAAGATTTTCAATAATTTAATTGAAAATAATTTAACATTTAAATTTAACATTTAATTGAAAATAATTGATTTTTTTAATTTAAATTTATATAAATTTATTTAATTTCATTTAATTTATTTAAATTTAAATTTAACATTTAATTGAAAATAATTGATTTTTTTTAAAATGTTTTTTTTTAAATTATTGAAAATTAACATTTAAAGAATTTCAATTGCAAATTTTGAAAGTAATTGATTTCTCAAAAATTTTTAATGAAAATAAGTTTTCAAGTGTAAATTTAAAAATGGTAATTAATAATAAAAATTAGTTTCTAAAAATTATATTAACTCGAAAAAAAGGACAATTTCATTCCAGGCAACCATTTAATTTTTAAAATCTCAATTTTTTTCTTAATTTTTATCACAAAATTATTAATTTCTTTGAACTTTTTGACCATCAGGACGAAAAATCCAAAAAATAAGTTCAAAGTGAAACTATTTTTTTTTTTACTTTTTTGGATTTAATTTACTTTGGACTTTTTGTTTTGGACTTCTTGTCCGAATACCGAATAAATTTGGAAAAATTTTATCAAACGAGGTTCGAAATAAAACTAATGAATATTAAAGACTCTCTAATAAATACAATAGATTGAAATTAAATTAATTAAATAAAAAAGTAACTAAATGAGCAAAAGGAAAAAGGAGAAGGGGGTGAAAATTCCAAGGTAGAACTGTAATAAAAAGAAATTTCCCCCTCCCCCTCTCTTTTTCTCTCTCTCTCTCTCTTTCGAATCTGAAAGGAGAAACTGAAAATCAACAATATGACCGTCTCTATCGAAATTATCAGCACTTTATCCCCTTAACTTGAGTTAAGTGGTTGAGATGAAAAAGAGAGAGGGAAATGGATGCTGGGGGGGTAGGAGAGAGAATGGAAGTAGGAAAGAGGAAGAGACACCCGGATTTACGCGGAAGGGCAAAATACTCCCCGCCCAGACCTCATTCAACCCCCGTGTACAGGGAGGCTTGCGTGAAAAGCACGATAGCTCATTGGCCATGGGGCTAATATGGCGGTGTTAGGGGTAGAAAGGTGGGGCGAGAATGTATACGATATTTAGGGCTGGATTCATGTCCGTCGGGTAGTTGGTGGTGCGCCGTCGATTGACGCATTTTGTTCCCGGTATTACTTCGGTTCTTGTAATATTATCCCAACCCTCCGAGTTAAAACGCGCGTCGTCCCCGCACACTGAAAACCAGAAGTTGTATGTACACACGCGGCAAAATTTAACTTTTTTTTGCACGACAAGTAAAAAAAAAGGAGAAAAAAAAAGAAAAAAAATTTCTCTCTCTACTCGGAACATGGTTTTTTTATTTCAAAAAAAGTGAATTTGGATAATTTCTTGTGGTGTTTTTTTTTTTATCATCATCGACTACTCGTAATTTTTTGTCTGTGGTGTCAATTGTCACGAGAACAATTTTTTTTCTTTTTTTAATAATAATATTGTGAAAGAAAAATTTAGAAACAAAATAGTTTCTATTTTTTTTTAAAAAAGGGGGGGCAACAAAAATGGCACAGACTTACAATCAAAAAAGGAACGTCTACAGTATTGACCAAATTTTAGGTCATGGTAAAAGTGAAGGTATGTTGAAAATTTTTTTACTTGTGATTTTTTTCCTATTTAACACAATTTTTTTTCTTCCCCCCCCTTTTAATTTTTAAACCCCCCCCCCTCTTTTTTAAAGAATATATTTTTCAAATTATTGCAAATTTTCTCAATGAAAATTGTTGGCGAAATTTGAAAAAATTAGAAACATTTTTTTACCGAAATTTTTTTTGTCAACACACAATTATAATAAATGGATTTAAAAACAAGAATTAAAATAATATTTACAATTTTTTGGTATTTTTTCATGCAAAAATACAATTTTATAGAAAATAATTTTTGTTTTTATTCTCTCTGTAATTGTGCTAGTAAATTTAAAACAATTTTTTACTTTCCAATATTTATCATTTTGTTTCAAATATGAAATGAAAGAATTCGTTGAAATTTAAATTTTGGTAAAAAACAAAAATTTTGTTTTGTAAAAAAAAAGTATTTTTTTAGGGAAACGTAGAAAATTAGTAATAAAATTTGTTTCCATTCTTTGAAATTTTAATCTAATAAAATAAAAAAGTTTCTAGGCTTCTCTAAAAAAAATTAATTTCGAAAATTTAAACAAATTTAGAAAAATTGGATTTTATAAGTTGAAAAATTTTCTAATAATAAAATACGATTTGCTAATTAAAAAAAATACAATTTTATAAAATAAAAATTTTCTAATAATTAAATAATTCGATTTTTGGATAACCCCGCAATTTTTTAATAAAAGTTACTAGTTTCTAATAATAAAAAACAATTTTTTCATCAAACAAATCTTCTATTTTATTGACCTGTTGGGGAAAAAGCTTTTCCAGTAAATATTTTTCGCAAATTTTCCCAAATCATTTTTAGACAAATTTCGAATAAAATAAAAGTCAATAAAGTCAATAATAAGAGTCAATAATATTGATAATATTAATCAATAATATTTTTGATAAGGAATAATTTATACTTTCGATAATTATTATTTTATTCCAAATAATATAATTCTCAATTTTTTATCCACATATATTATTTTCAAATACGCTTTATAATTTTCGAAAAGAAATTAATTGTGTACTACAAATTTGAACACCTTAATATAAACAATAAGTAAAAATATAAAATATTTATTGTTTTCTTTTTAAATACAAAATTCTTAATTTTTAAATATGAAAATCTTAAGAAGATAAAATAAAATTTGGCAAAAAATTAAAAAAATTGTCCAAAAATACTGAAAATGGTAAACATTTATAAATTCCCCTCATTAATAAAAAAAATTACAATTTGTTATTTTAATAACAAATTCTTTTAATTCCTTTAGAAGAAAGTAAAATAAAAACTTTTTAGGTCACAATATATTTTGTTATACCTAATTAAGAAATTCTTGCGAAAATAAAAATTTCCAAACGATAAAAGCATTTTTTTTTCCATTAGAAAATTCTAAGAAAATATACCGCAGCTAATATACAAAACCGATAATTTTTCTTCATATATAGGGAAAAAATAATATTTTTAGTATATATAGGTAAAAAAATTATCCGTTTTGTAAAATTTAATTACTGTCACCATTGATTTACTTAAAGCTCGTGCGACTGCAGGGAAAAAAAAATTTGCAAAAATAAATGCATATGATTATTCTGTAAAAATTTTCCAGTAAAAAATGTCTATTTTGTAAAAGAGAAAATTTACACGTGTTGCGCGCCTGCAATGTATATATATATAGGTTACATAGTCCATTAATAATTACAATATATTATTATGTTTGCCAACGTAAATTTATAAAATTCGCCCCTTCAACATTATGATTCAATGCGGGAAAATTGAAATTTCATTTTCGTGAAAATTAATTTTATACTTTATTTTCAATTAAAATTTTATTGAAACTCTGTGCGTTCGGGAAAATTCCATATTATTATACATACGAATAGTTTATAACGTGAAGTTAATGATTGATTAATTAATAGTTTATATGGCGAGAATATAGTTAAAAGCTATTATAAATTATTTTTTTAATGAATTATATTTAATTATTTTTAAGGCTCGAAATTAGAAAATTCTTTATATTATCTGGAAAATTATTATCTTAATTATGTATTATTATTATTTTCAGTATTATTATTAATATTTATATTACAATATTATTTATTAATATTAATATTATTATTATTATTAGTATAATTATATCTATCGAAAGTTATTTATAGTTTGCTCATAAATTTTTAAAAAGTTGCCAACAATTATTTACAATAACGTTTATATTGAATTTAAAAATTTTGTCCTACATTCATTTAAAATTTAATTAAACAAGAATTATTATTCTTTGTATCAATTTTTAAATCTATTTTCAATTAATTTTTAATGTTATAAATATAAAAATAGTCCACAATGTTTATAATAAGCAAAATTTATTTTTCATTCTCCTTTCGAGAAGGGTGGATTTATTTCCAAGATTTAAATTAAATTTATTTTTTTAAACACTTATAAAAAGAGAGAGAAAGTAAATTGAAAAGAGAGAAAAATTAATTTTTTATCCACCCCCCCCCCCGCCCTCTCACCCCTAGTTGCGTATTTAAAAAAGAAATAGAAAAAAAATTGTTTGTTGTGCTCTTAAAGTGATATTTAAGGGAAATTAGGGTTGATTTTGAGAAGCAGGTGTGAGTATGTGCAATGTGCACGCACGTATGTGACGCATGCGCAATTGATTCTCCATGGTAAATAAATTTTTCATTTCAAGCAGCATCATCCCTGGCTTCTTGTACATACTCAATAAAAAGCAATAGGGAGGTTTTGGCATCGAGTGTGCACCCCATTGTGCCCCAACATAAAAACATTAAAATCTCTCCATTCAGCTTGGATTAGCTCTTCGAATGTTCTATGTCTCTATACATATATATATATGTCTCCTATATGTAATATTATACACACATACATATATATATATATATACAATATTTTATTACTTTAACTCGGTATCACATACAAGTAATTCTTCCTCTGCAATAACCCAAGGATATATGTATTATATAAATATATCTCTGAAAATTCTTTTATTTTTTATTTTTATAATTCGTTCGATTTGTATAGATGAAAAAGGAAATTTATTCACATTTTTATAATCGGAAAAACTATGTTTCTTATTTGCTTGTATCTTGTGTTTATATTATATTTTTAATGGTAATAAATTAATAATAAATCTCAACGTATAAATAATAATAATATTAGTAATCACATCGATAATAATAGTAATTTATTTATTTCTGTATTTATTCTGGTTACAAAAAAGTAAAAGCAATAGTAATAAATTAAATAATAATTTATTTATTTTTATATTTATTCTGATTACAATAAAAGTAACGGTAAAAGTAATAGCAATAGTAATACTATTATTAATAATAATATAATCAATATTAAGAGTAATTTATATTAAATAATCTGTGCAAAACAAAAACTTAAAAGCAGATCTGAATAAATAGCGAGTAAAAGGCTTGGAGAAGCGGCTCCCCACCATCAGGCAAGCCTTCCCCCTCCACTTCGATTCTATTCCCAATACAGGCCTCGGATATTATGACTTTTTCGACTTCCTTCGACTATTTTTAAATTTTTTAAACATTTTTTAAACAATAATAACAATAATACGAATTTTATCGACTTTTATTAAAAAATTGCGACTTTTTCGACTTCTCATCCAAATTTTGCTACAAAATAGAAAATACCATATTTTTAGTATAAAATGCAAACTTATTTCGATTTTTATAGTGTGAAAAGCACAACTTATAGACAAATCTTTGAAAATTTATTTTTGAATAATTTTTCTAAATCAATTTTTCGAAATATACAATAATTAAAAAGATTTTGAATAATTGAAATTTTGTAAAATTTAATTGAAAATAAATCATCTTTTCAAGTAATTTATTACAATTTTTGAAAATTAACTTTTAAAGAATTTTAATTGAAAATTTTTGAAATAATTGAATTCTCAAAAATTCTAATGAATAATCTTCAAGTGTAAATTCAATTAAAATGAAAATTAATGAAAATTAGGTTCTATAAATAATATTAAAATAGTTTTCAAAAAAATAAATCTCTAAATTATTTCGTTTTAATTTTTTAAAATTCAATTGTTTTCAACACTTTTGATATTCAATATTTTCAATATTTCCGAAAATTCAAATACAGACACAAAATAATAACATTAACATTTTCCAGAATTATTTTTAACATTTTTGAAGAAAATAATCATATTCAAAGTTTTTAATTAAAATTCTTCAAAACATTATTTTTTTTTAAATTATACAAAAATTCTTCAATTATTTTCGAAAAATTACTTTACAATATTTATGAAAACCTGTAATTCTTAGAATTGTTTTACCATAACTTTTTAAGATTCAATTATACCTTCGAACAAAGTAAATCAAAATTTTTAAAAATTTACTATTTTAGTATCATTGAGAAATTATTTATAATTAAAATTCTTCAAAAATTTGATCATTTTTTCATATTTTTTAAAAATTCAATTATTTTTCAAAGATTTTACTAAATTTCAATTATTTTTTAAAAGATTTTACTAAATTAAAAATTTTTTTTAAAAAGATTTTACCAAATTTTAATTTTTTAGCCATTTTTTAATTGCGTATGTAATTGTAAAACTATTGTCTTTCAAAAATTATTTAGAAATATTTTTAAATAGTTAATTTTACGAAATTCTTTATTAAAATTTTTGAAAATATTCTACCTTAATATCTTTAAAAAGAAAAATGGACGGGTGCAATTATTATAAAAAATTGAATTTTTGTATTTGAATAATTGAATTTTCGAAGAGAATTTAGAGATGAAGTTTAATTAAAAATTGTAGAAAATAGTTGAATTTTTGGAAGGGTTGTAGTTTTCATTTTTAGAAATTATTAAATTTCAGAAGTTGAAATTTTTTAAATTTTTTTTCCTGTGAAAAAAGAAATAAGAAGTATTTAAATATTTATTTAGCAAAATTATACAAGTTTTGATTAATTGAATTTAGAAAT